TGTGGAAAAGTAGATCAACCTTTCCAATGGTAAATTCGTTTTTGGAAACAAAAAAATCCTTGTGCCTGAAAAAATGTGGAAACCTTATTTTTGACATAACCCTCGTATGAAAGGTTCGCACCCATTTCAGGAGAGCGGGAAGAAGGATCACTTAGCTCGTATCTATCCACACAGCAATAATGGATACAATCATTAAAATATTAGAAAAAATAAAGAAAGCAACGTGGGGGATACCATATAGAGAGGACAGATCATAACGGATCAGCATCAGCAGATGATTTAGTGCGGCTGACAAACGAAAAAGAAGAGCTATAAAATAACCTTAAGGTATGGAATGAGGAACTCAGAAAACATAAAACGGAAAAAATATGACATAACTTTGAGCATTTACAAAGACCCACAGAACACAGATATTTTTTCCGTTTCTACGTGCTTGCTTCAGAAATGTCACATTCTCCACTTGTATGGGGTTGTCCAAAAGTTGGGTACTTTATTTTGAAGGCTCATTTATACCATTTATGTATGAAAAATAATATCGCTCAAATGTTCACCACGACTGGATTTACAGACGTCCACGCGATGGTCGAAATTTTCAATGACATTTTGCAACATGATCGGTTCTATGGCATTTATCTCGGCAATGATGTTGTTTTTGAGTTCTTAGAGGGTGGCTGGTTTGTTGACGTAGACTTTGCTTTTCAAATATCCCCATAAAAAGAAGTCCAAGGGAGTCAAATCGCACGATCTTGGTGGCCATGGCACATTTCCTCTGCACGAAATCACGCGATCACCGAAGAAGGACTGCAATCGATGGATATTGACGTTGGTTGTGTGGCATGTTGCACCGTCTTGTTGGAAATAAACATCGTCCATATCCATTCCTTCAAGTTGCGGCAAAAAATAGTCCTCTATCATCACGTGATATCGCTCAGAATTGACGGTAACGGCGTCCCCGGCCGCATTCTCTAAAAAGTTAGGTCCGATGATGCCTTTTGACCACAATGCACACCACACAGTCACTTTTTGAGGATGCATCGCCTGCTCTTGATAATCACGGGGATTTTCGTTCGCCCAGATGCGGCAGTTTTGCTTGTTTACCGCCCCATTCAAAGTCAAATGCGCTTCGTCGCTGAACATGATTTTTGATGAAAAATTGCCATCAATTTGGCGGTGTTCAAGGAGCCAATCTAAGAACGTTCGGCGCGAAAAATGGTCGGCCCGACGCAGCTCTTGCGTCAATTGGATCTTGTAGGCGTGTACATTCAAATCCTTGTGGAGAATGCGGAGCAAATTGGTTCTCGAAATGCCCAATCCTTGGGATCGACGCGTTGTTGATTGTTTCGGATCGTCTCTCACACTCTCATTCACAACAGCAATATTTTCCGGTGTGCGAACGCTCCTTGGCCGGCTTGAGCCTGGCAGATTTGCCACAGAACCTGTTGCCTCGAATTTACGCACCAGACGACCGATGGTTGTTTCGTTTGGGCGGTTGTTGCGACCGAAATGTTCACGAAGCGCGCGAAACGTGTTTTTTATTTTTGCACCATTTTTGTAGTGCTCTTGAATAACTTTAATGCGGTCTTCAATCGAATACGACTCCATAGCGATCAATGGTAAACATTCAACTAACAAAATGACATGTCGGTGACAGAAAACAGAGATGTCAAATTGACGTTTACTTTCCTATGTCCCTATTGGACAACCCTTTATGTACAGGGTGTCCCATTTTCGATGATATTACGGGGTATCTGGCTTCCTAGTAAAGATAGAGAGTTACAGTTTTATTCGCAATACTGTGCTACCTTTTTGTGAAAAGACAAATGGTATAAATCAAATTTTCGGAGCCTCCTTCGTTTCTGTAATACAGGGCGAAATTGAAAATATTGCTTTTTAGGACCCTCCTCATATCCCCGTTATCCTTTAACATATCGCAGAGCTAAAAACTGGCATTTACACAGTTTTTTAGGTAACGTAGTCAAATTTTTGCTGTGAACTGTCAATTTTTAGCTATAAATTTTTTAATGGGACAACCTGTATATTTTTATTTTTGTTTGATTGAACATCTTCTAAGCTAAATAATAAATCGGATATTCATAATTTTCCAAATTGCCACATTTCTACGACTTGACTTTGTTAAATACATCCCAGTGGGAAAGATCACTTTTTGATTTAAGAAAAAAAATACAAACTTAATGAAAATAAAATATTTAGTACTATACTAAGTGACATATAAATCCGAACACCCAGTTTAAATGGTTTTATTTTAATAAAAGTTGGTGAATGTATTTATCTTACTGTAAATAACAAGTGAAAAAATTTTCAGCCTTATCAGTTGGACATTCCGATTTTTATACTGCTTTTTTTTAATTCACTAACGCTCTAGAAATGAATATTTCAGCCGCAGTAAAGATTCAACGTTGGCAGATTTTGGTTCTTGACATCCTTTACGATCGGTTACGATGCCTAGAGTACGGAGACCTGTACGATTTCGTCAACTTAGTGAGTTTGATAGGGGCCGTATAGTGGGACTTCGGAAAGCTGGACTTTCTTTTCGGGCAATTGCAGTTAGAGTGCAAAGAAGTGTAGACATTGTGGTTAGGTGTTGTCAGGCATGGCTTCGAGAAGGCCGTACGCAAAGAGCAAGGGACACTGGACGCCGCCGTAGAACAACAGACCGTGAAGATCGCCGCCTAAGATTATTGGCCTTAAGGGACCGTTTCTCCACTACCAGGTCCATTGTAAATGAATGGTTTGCAGAACACGGAAGACCTATTGGCATGCGAAGTGTTTACCGACGAATGAGAAGTTTTGGCTTGTTTTCATACCGGCCACACTGGGTCCTCCCTTTAACTCGAGAACACCGACGTATTCGCCTTGAGTGGTGCAGACAACGGTCACTCTGGGATCAGAAATGGAACAGTATTGTCTTTCCTGACAAGTCTCGATTTTGTTTAGGCATGCACGATGGTCGTGCCAGGGTTAGAAGGCGACGTGGTGAAAGGAGGAATCCACAGTTTTTTGTTGAAGGACATGTTCATTACACTGTTGGAGTTATGGTTTGGGGTGCTATAGCTTATGGTTCCAGGTCACCTTTAATCTTGATCAGAGGTAACATGAACGTTATAGCCACGAAGTTCTAGAACCCCATCTTTTACCCTATCTGGACACCCTGGCAGATCCAACTTTCCAGCAAGATAATGCCCGACCACATGTTGCAAGAGTCTGACTTCTTTCAACATAATGATGTCACATTGTTACCATGGCCACCAAGATCTCCCGACTTATCCCCAATTGAGCAAGTGTGGGATATGATGGGTAGGAGATTGCTCAATTTGCAACGTCCTCCTCAGACTCTAGAAGCCCTTCGAGAGGAGTTGGTGGTTGCCTGGAATGAGATACCACAGGAGGAAATTGACCACCTGATCAGAAGCATGCCTAGGCGCGTTGGAGAATGCGTAGCATATCAGGGTGCATCCACACATTATTAAAGGTCAAAGGGCTTTAAAGCAGTGCAATCATTTTGAAATTTTTATCATTTACTTATTATGCTTCATTAAGTACTTATACAAAATTTTATTAAAATAAAACCATTTAAACTGGGTGTTCGGATTTATGTCACTTAGTATATTATTCATGCATCAATTTCATCACGGAAATCGTCAGCTTGCTCTCTTGACCCGTTCAAAAGTTGTAAATTGAAAAGTTCTGTATGCGAAAACGCTTTTCAGCTCTTTAACAACATATTTGTGTTAACGTATCGATAGTATTTGGATACATCTAATTCCTCCGATAGAGGCTTTGTTCTGCTTCCATTCATCGTCCTACCTGAGCCCAGGCCTAGACCGTGCTGATGATGTGAACAACCATGAAACAGCTGTGCGCGGTACTAAAAGCAGTGTCATTGCTTTATTAATATTTTCAACCGATTCACTAACACCGAGCATCCACAAGCACATAACGAGTTGCGTAAGTAGTCCTAATCTACTCACAATTCCCTGCAAAAGTGGCAGATAAGAATAACAAACAGTATCGCTGAAAACAGCTTACGGGTGAATATCCAACTGAAGAGGAACCGTGCTCTTGAACTTCAAACTAAACAGCGTTAACGTGCAATAACGTTTCCGCGATAAAAATGTGAATCGAGATTATATTAAGTATATAAATATTTGGATATCTCGTAGAGGAGCAAAAAAATATCTTAAGGCCAATGTCCTTGCGAATAAACTCTAGAAATAAATTGGCGTTGGGTGAACCGATGACTCAAAAATGTTATTACGGAATATTTCATGTTGTTTTGCTAAGATACGAGGCACTTACAGCAAGTATATGCAAGCTTACGAAATATCTCAAACACATTTTTTGCATGCGAGTCCAACCCTGTAGCACACAAAACCTTTCCAGAAGATTCACAAGGCTGCTTGGTGTCACTCAGCGCGACAGCCCTTACGCCTGTATACATTATACATTCCATTCCTTCTCTGGGTACTTGTTCCCAGGATAAACTTTGTTATACGGGCGTGGACGGCGATACACTTCAATTATTGCGTGGATGAGATCGCATCTCAGACCAAGTAGTGCGCTTTGTGAACTTGATTACAGTGTTGATGTGCTATTGGGTGTGGTGTTTTGGTTACCTGAAAGGTGAGCAATCACTGAGTGTTTCCTTTATTCTACTGTACTGCATGGATTGATAACTATAACACTTCTATATTCATGATCATGAATGCTGAGTTACCGTCAAAGAAATGTAAGTAAAGCTGATATTTGATTTATGATTTTGTGATTACATAGTCATTTAGGTATATTCTCCAATGCCGATAATGAAATTGCTTTGGGTTGTGGGATTGAGTGCAGACAAATGAAATAATCAAAAATTGACCACTGCGTTACTGCTACACTGCGTTACCAAAAAAAGTAACGCAGTTGTTCCGCTAGTAACACAGCTGTTTTAGGTGCACTAGTGGAACCAAAATACCCATTCGACACTCCTTTGATTTTAGAAAGAAGCTTATCAACGAAATGGCTCTGACACCAGCGGAAAAGCAGCGTCGGTATAGGCTGAAGTTGAAGCTGGACCCCGTAAAAAATGATGAAGCTAAAAAGAAACACCTTGAAAGATACCACGCCAAAAAAAAACTAGTGAAAGATATGACTGAGCGAGAGCATAGAGCTGCTAAACGTAGATGGAAGATTGCAAATAAGAAACGGCGAGAACGACAAAAAGCTGCACAGCAACTGGTAGAAAACCCGCCTTCCACACCACGTTCAGGAACTCCAGATTCTCCCAGGTGTAGAGGCCGGAAACCGGTGAGGCGCGACCGATCTGCGTTATATAGACAGAATGTGAAATTACAGGAAGAACTGGAAAGACTAAAAAAGAAGTGTAATAAGTACAAGAAGAGGTATCAAAGGGCTATACAGCCTAGGATCAATCCTGATAACAATAAATATTCTACATTATCAAATGCTATTAGGGTTCATTACAAAGGACTGACAACAGTAAAAGAAAAGAGAGCTCTAAGACAAGTTTTCCACGGAGAAGCCATACCAAAGTCAAAAATGAAGACTGCTATTGTGCGTGAGACTTTGGGCATTGACCAGCTAAAACGAAAGCTGACTCTCTCCAAGAAATCAAGGAGTTCTTTAATCGCGACGATGTTTCTAGAGCTACAGCGGGAGAGCGAGAAACTGTAACCTACAAAAAAGTAAAAAGTCAAAAACGATATTTACTGGACACAATGAAAAACCTTTACTGTTCATTCAAGAAAGAGTTTATAGGTGAGAGATGTTCATATTCATACTTCATAAGACATCGACCGTTCTATGTAAAGCCGCCTACAGTTGGTGGTAGAGAAACTTGCCTATGCAAGTTACACACTAACACGCAGTATATAATAAATGCTCTCCATAAAAACAAAATTATTCCTGTTCCAAATATGAGCAACCTCGTGTCGAGCTTAGCATGCTCAACAAATAGAAGAGCGTGCATGACCGGTAACTGTGGAGACTGCAATACTAAACAAATAGTATGTAATATACGGAATGACCTTCACTCACAATCAGTTAAATGGCCTCAGTGGGTTAGAAAGTGTGAAGTGATAGAGAGGTCAAGTAAAAAAGTGAAGATTACAAAAAACGTAAAAGAAATTGTTGAAGGGACTGTTCCAGAATTAATAGGAAGGTGTAATAAAACGCTGAGAGAATTGAAAAAACATATCTTTAACATAAAAACACAGTATAGGAGTTATAGAGATGCTATAGATAATTTGAAGAGTGATGTAATCGTTCTACACATCGATTTCAGCGAGAACTATAGCTGCAAATGTTTTGAAGAAGTGCAGTGCCATCATTTTGGCGGCTCGAGGAAGCAGGTTACATTACATACTGGAGTTATGTACACCAAAACAGAAGGAGAGGACAAACCGACGATAATGTCATTTTGTACCATCTCTGGAAATTACTCTCACACTCCCGTGTCTATTTGGGCACACCTCCATCCAGTTATTAGCAATTTAAAAACTGTACATCCTAATATAACAACAATCCATTTCTTCTTCGATGGTCCTGCTACTCACTACAGGCAGAAACTAAATTTCTATTTCATATGTACGGAAATATTCAAGTACAACTTCGATCGCGTCACATGGAACGTCTTTGAAGCATGTCACGGCAAAGGTGCCATGTGATGGTATTGGTGGTTACCATAAACGCACTGCAGATAAACAGGTAGCGACTGGTTCAGATATTTCTGATTCAGAAACTTTTTTCCACACATTGAGGAACTCGAGCAAGGTCCGTCTGTACTTGGTGACTGACAATGACATTGAAAATGTCGAAAAAACTGTACCAAAAAATGTAGTACCACTCCAGGGTACTATGCAGGTTCATCAAGTTTTCACTGATACTCCAGGTGAATTAAAATATAGAGACCTTAGTTGTTTCTGTCAAAGAGGGTTTTGCTTATGCTTGGATCCAAAAACCTATCGGCCAGTTCCTACTCCCGTCGTTGGCAAAATCAGCAACTCTACAGAAAGGAGTTATGCAGATGGATTGAACAACAAAGAACTACTAGCCGATATATCCAATGTCCCTACCAAATCTAGAAGAAGTTACTACAGCATGGTTTATTCCCCATCTTCTAGCTCTGACGAAGAGGTTCTTGCAAACTTGGACCAGCCATCTGAGTCTAACGTGAAAGAAAAACAGCTAATAGATAAGGAAAACGTTCATCCATCGAAGATATCAGATGGTGTTTACGTTTTAGTTAAAGTTTCTTCCGTTAAAGACAAACATTATACTTACCTGGGAGTGGCTAAAAGTACTGTTGATGAAGAGGGAGACGTCAAGGTCATGTTTTATAAGACTGTAGATTTTACTGCTAAAATTTTTAAAGCAGTCGAGACTGATATATCTTACGAACCTTATGACAATATCTTGCAAATCGTTCCTAATCCTAAAATGGTCATGAAAGGTAAACGAGCATTCTTCGAGTTTGACGAACCATAGAACGTTTTTGAAAAATAAAACTTATGTACGTTTGCCTAATAGTTTTTAAGATGTTGAATTATTTTTGTTACTTTATGGTTGTGCAAATAATTCGAAGTATATACTGTACGATAATGAAGTTTATAACTTACAGTTATGTTATTTTATATTGCGTTATGACCTCGGAAGTTCATTCTTTAGTTTATTTTTGAGCCTACTAGATCTACTTTATGAAGGCATAAAGTGATGTGAGTATGATACCACTTTGTTACTGTGGTTACCATTGCGTTACCATTTTGTCCCCAGTTTTGAACAGCATTAAGAGTAATGTTTGCGTTTCTTGTAAGCGAAAATTGTCTTGATTCCATATGTACCTGTTTTTCACCAAAAGTCCAAGCTTATCTCGCTATTTTGGTTTAGTATACGATTTTTGCTGTTGTTATTTTATATAAGTTTATGTCTATAAATACGACATTAGTAACGTAGTTGTCTAAACTATAACAAATATTTCTTTGAACTGATCAGTTCTGTGATATTACTTAATGGGAGGATAGTATTAGTGGTACAGTTCAAGGGCGCCAGAGTAGCGAGCTCAGCCGCGATGTTTCGAAAATGAAATTTCATTTTGTAGTAAAGTAACGCTGTTGTTTGATTTCACCACCACTTCCTACATAAACTGCCAAAATCATTGTAGTCTCATTGAAAACTTCGCTGCAAATGTAACCATAGCATGGAACAAACTATCACCATGATGTAGCTGCCATAAATTATAAGAAAATATCATATTGATTTTCCCAGTTTTTTTCCTAAACTACATCTGGAATTAGGCATCGATAAGTATTTTGGCCCTGTTATCGAAAATTAGATACCTTTTTTTGAGTGTTATACAACGTGCCAGTAATAAAGGATGCCGGCTGTATCTCGGCAATCGCTCAATCTAGAGCTATGAAGTGAAAATTTTCTAATGATATCGGCAAATACATTGATGATGGCAACTTACACATCGTAATCACTACTTGGGTTTTTCAAACAGTGCCGTTCATTCATTAAGAAATTATCTCGAAGATCGGACACAAGTTGTCAAGTGTTTTGGTGAATCATCCGAATTCTTTAACGTTTATAGAAATGCACCACTCTCTCGACTCTTGTACATACACTTCATTCACAATTCTTTGTCGCAGGTCTTCTAATGATGTTGGCTGAGTAGCATAGATTTGGCTTTTTAAATGACCCCACATAAAGAAATCCAAAGGTGATAAATCTGGCGATCTTGGGGGCCATTCAATGGCACCTCTTCTACCAATCCATCGATCTGGAAACGTCTGATCTAAATATTGTCGAACACGTAATGCGTAATGTGGTGGGGCACCATCCTGTTGGAACATCAACCTATTCGCAATGTACCGCCGATCATTCTGATTTTAAATTATGGCTGTTAATACAGGATCTATGGCGTCTTCCAGTAATTTCAAATACATTTCACCGGTCAAATTTCTAGGTAAGGAAAAAGGACTAACTAAATGATCGCCAAAAATACCAGCCCAAACATTTAATTTTTGTGGCTGCTGTGTATGAACCTCTGGGATTAGAATCGGACCAATATCGGCAGTTATGTCGATTTACTACGCCATTTAAGAAAAAGGAACATTCGTCGGAAAAGCAAGTGTTGAATAGAAAATGTTCATCGTTTATAATTCGTTCACTCATATCTTCACAAAATTGTAATCGCCGATCAAAATCGTCTTCAATAAGTTCTTGTATAAGGTGAATTTTATACGGATGAAAACTATGGGTCTTTAGAATCCGTTGGACAGTACATCGACTAACACCACACACAGTCTCCAATTTGCGGGTACTTAACGTAGGATCTACATAAACTTGCCCTAAAACCCCCACTTCTATTGCTTCGTTCCTTATGGGATTTTCAATGTTGCGTTTTTTTTGGCGACTGAGCCAGTTTCCCGAAATTTAGCTACAAGTTCTAGAACATGCACGTTACTGTTCTCATGTCGCTCATTAAATATTTAAACTGTTGTATTAGCGCACTGATTATTTCCGAAAAATATTTCGATAATTTCAAATCTTTCTGCTGTGGAATATACCATGGTTAATTTATGTAATAAAGCGTAACAAGTTATTTTAGCAACAAAGTTTGGTCAAATCAATCGCAAAGTATGTACTAAATTCCTATTTAAAATAAGTACGAGATATTTCCTTATCTGTCTTCAAGAAATATTTTTTTTGCCACAAAAAAACGCTCAAATAGCTATTTTCAACAACAAAATGATAAACAAACCATGGGCGTAGTGAAGAAAAGCATTTACTCATTAAGTAAATTCTTTTAGTCAAATTTCTTCTGAAAGTAGTACAAAGTAATCTGATGTACCTATTAAAGTCTACTTTAAGCTTTAAATCAATAAATCTTCAAAACTACTGAACTGCAGCTCATGTATTTTACATCATTATAAATAGAATTGAAAGACCTTTAAAATAAGGTATCACTCGACCCCCGTTTCTATTTAAGATTTTAGGGTTGGTGTTACCCCCGCCCAGGGGCTGCACGTGTTAACGTGATTTTTTCCCAAACTTGTGTTCCCCTCGAAAACAAAATCGACGGATCTGAGCGTTTTTCCAAAAAAAAACTGAGCTGCCAGTAAATGCGTTTGTTTCGTTTTCGAAGCGCCACCCTGTAAATTGCTTTTAAAGATCAGAATCAACGCAACTAAATCTAGTACTATTTAGAAAAAAGATCCGTGAACTATACTCAAATAGCTTAGAGATTAATTTCGGACAAGACAAACCACGAAAAATTTAGGGATTATTCAGGATACCGATCTGCGGTTTTCACAGCATATCTCTCTTCTAACCAAAATGGCATTTTCATCTTGAAAACTGTTGTACAATAGCAGACGCCTACTAACCAAGTCAACAAAAATAACATTGTGCGAGTCTTTAGTTCTCACCTCAGCTATGCAGACTGTATCTATGGCCCGTCATTGCTACAGCGAGATAAGGCAAAACGCCCTGTAAGAAGGGTTTTGACAACATTGTCACATTTGCGAGCTATAAGTTTTCTGAGATTTCTTGGCTGAATTATATGTAATTTCTTAATATTCAATAAGCTGATGACATTTCAATGACAAGTTGTCATCTCATACTTTGACAGTATTTTGTTTTCAACATTTCATAGCTGAAATTGGCCCTTTGTTTACTGTATTTGCCAATTGTTCTTCCATATATTGCATCTTTGCTTATTTTTGCATTTGCATCTCCCAATACAATTTTGACGTCATACTTCGGGATTTTTTCAAATTATATAACATTATAAAAGTCCTCGTTAATTAATATATTCTTCTCTTCTGATGGGGCATGGAAATTCGGTAGGCTTATTTTCTGAAATTTTCCTCGGAGTCTTAAAAGACACATTCGCCCATTAATTGCTTTAAAATCTATTACTGCGGATTTAAATCCTTTGTTCCCAGTATTCTCCACCGCTATTAAAGAATGCATAATTACCAACTTCTACCATCTCGTTCCCCAACTGGTTTGTTTCTTGAATAGCAACGATGTCGAATCTAAATTTTTCGCATTCTTTGGTTAGGTGCTTATATGCTCCTTCTTCGAAGGTTCCTCTGACATTCCACGTTCCTAACAATATTTCCTCTTTGATTTGCCGTTGCTGGCATTGGTTTACAATATTTCTTTTTCCCTGATTTTCCTTTATGCTCTCATAGAAAAATCAAACCAATGCATTTAATTTTTTGAAAACATGAACCATTTCTGTAGCGGCCACATGTGAAACAAACAAATATCAAATACTATAACATTTGTAGTCCAAGAATAGCCCTTTTAACTAGCCGAAGTTTGTTTAAATCGGCCCAGCCGTTTCGAAGATACAGGGTGTTTTTTACGGAAACATTTCCCTTTAACACTTTATTTTTAGAGATACAGCAAAAATTATCAAACAAAAAAAGTTCACATTATCCTCGACTTTAAAGATCAGGTATTCTTTCAGGTTATTGCAGCGGATTTTACAGAAATATCACTTTTTTAGATTCAAGATTGCAGTTACGGCCCCTACCGGCCATTTCAGAAACTTGAAAATATTTTCTAGGTTTTTCCCTTGGCCGCAAGCCTCTACGATGGATAGGTTCCCGCATCCTTAATTCGCCACCCTGTACACCAAAAAACCCTTGCACTTACCCTTAACATTCCTCTGCGCATTAGTATCCCCCACCTTCCTATTCATATCGCCCTGCCTAAAGCATATCTTCTTCAATTCCATCCTAAACTTCGGATGCGATAAGGCGTAAACGTAAGAGTTCAGAACGCTGGCCGTCTTACAGAACAGTGCTGGAAACATGGATACCAGGGGCGTGATGACGTGCTTCTGATCAGACACTCCCAGCAAAGCGACTATGGCGTATGGGGTCCAGGACAGGAACCACAGAAGGACGGTGGTGAACGCCACTTTTGCCACTGTGACTTCTTGTCGTTTGTTCGTATCTTCTTTCATATGTCGGAACGATTCGCGGCTCTTCTTGGTGATAGAGGCTCTTGAAGTTACCTTTAAAGAAAGAACTGTCGTATGTTATCTAGATAATCCTGCCTCCCACCGTCAAAAGCATCAGTAGTTTTGCTACTTTAACATAGTGATATACAGGGTGTCCCAGAAGTCGACGTCAAGCCGAAACCGGGTGATAGGCAAATTCATAACAGCTATCAGAAAAATATTTAAAAAAATTTTATGTATATGTTTTGAAAATTATAGGTCTTTGAAAAAGATATAGAAATTTCACACCGTACGGCAGCCTGTCAACTCCTGTTACTACAAATATTAACTTTTTTGGATTTTATTTTTACAATGTAATGATGAATAATGCATCTTCAAACTGGTGTCTCGACCTTACTGCCAACTTTTCTCGTTCAGGAAAAATTGCCACTTATTTCCCAACCAAGTATTCCAAAGTAAAACTTTGCTCAACTTTAACTGGCTGTACTGGAAAAAATGTACTACGAGAGTTTGGCAAGTAACCTTAAAAGTTGGCGCATTTAATAAGGATCCCAAAATGGTATAACACTTAGAAGATTACTGGTTAACTTATGCACAATTTTTATTTGAAGAAAAACTGATGAAAATTTTTCAAAATTTCCTAATTAAACAGCGATTATGAAAACGCACAAGGGCCCTTAAGGATAACTGTTTGCACAACAGTGGGCATCAAAATGCTGCTGATGATGATTTACCTTTACAGCAAATGCTCAAACTGTTTTCCTTCAGCCGCAATACACGCTCGACATCTTCTTAAAAAAGATCGGGTTATTAAACGAGCGAATCCACGGTTATTAACAAACTCAGCTGCTTCCAATAGTCTTTGCCGTAGCTCAGCTACATTTTGAATCGGCTTGAAATACGCTTTTTCTTTTACAGTTCCCCAGTAAAAAAATCTAAAGGATTCAAATCAGGTGATCGGGCTGGCCACGGTATTGTACCAGACCGCCTTATCCATCTGCCTGGAAAGTTTTGATCGAGATACTCTCTCACTGAGAGTGCATAGTGCGCTGGGCAGCCATCATGCTGAAACCACATGTCCCTGTAAATACTCAGTGGCACATCCACCAATAAATTTTGTACATGATTTTTCAAAAAATCCAAATAAACTTCAGCAGTCGAAGTCTCTAGGAACTCAAACGGACCGATTATTTTACCATTTAAAATTCCTGTCCAATGGTTTATCTTGAAGCGATATTGAGATTTATCTTCTCTCATCAAATGTGGGTTTGCGACGTGCCACTTGTGTAAGTTATGCAGGTTCATGTACCCATCTTTCTTAAATGTGGTCTCATCCGACCATAACATTTTTTCAAAGAACTGTGGATCTTTGCTGTGTCTTTCTAACATTGTGCGACAAAAAGCAACTCGGGGCTCATAATCCCGGGGCAGGAGAGGTTGAACATGCTGTATGTGGTATGGATGAAGCACATCACTTACTTGCTATTGCACACTTTGATACCGATCAGTACTCCTTCGTTTACTGCGCATCTTTACATGTTCGTGCTTGTTGATTTCGTACTGTTACTAATTTTGGATTCGTGAACTGGACTGTTGATCGCTTGTGATTTGGATTTGGACTGTTTAATTGCTCTTCAAAACAACATTTGCTTTCCTTAGACTATCTTTGATAGTGTGATTGTGCAGTGCCGCTATGTCCGTGTACACCGTACAAGAATATGCTAACATGCACCTCATTTATGGGGAATGCAGATGCAACGCTAGTGCTGCAGCGATACTTTTCTGTGAGAGGTACCCGAATGCAGCTCGTCATCCAGATCATCGAGTGTTCACAAATGTGCACCGCTTACTGTTCTCAGAGGGCCAACTACCAAACCAATCACACGGTGAGGGAAGATCTTTCCTTCCTTACGAAGACGTGGTGCTAGGAGCTGTCGAAGAAGACCCGAGTACTTCAGTGCGTGCAATAGAACTAAAAACAGGTGTGCCCAAAAGTACAGCCCATAGAATTTTGCAAAAAAACGTGCTCCATCCATACCACGTACAGCGTGTTCAAGCTCTTCTGCCCCGGGATTATGAGCCCCGAGTTGCTTTTTGTCGCACAATGTTAGAAAGACACAGGGAAGATCCACGGTTCTTTGAAAAAATTTTATGGTCAGATGAGACCACATTTAAGAAAGATGGATACATGAACCTGCATAACTTACTCGAGTGGCACGTAGCAAACCCACATTTGATGAGAGGAGATAAATCTCAATATCGCTTCAAGATAAACCATTGGACAGAAATTTTAAATGGTAAAATAATCGGTCCGTTTGAGTTCCCAGAGACTTTGACTGCTGAGGTTTATTTAGGTTTTTTGCAAAATCATTTAGAAAATTTATTGGAGGACGTGCCACTGAGTATTTACAGGGACATGTGGTTTCAGCATGATGGCTGCCCAGCGCACTATGCACTCTCAGTGAGAGAGTATCTCGATCAAAACTTTCCAGGCAGATGGATAGGGCGGTCTGGTACAATACCGTGGCCAGCCCGGTTACCAGATTTGAATCCGTTAGATTTTTTTTACTGGGGAACTGTAAAAGAAAAAGTGTATTTCAAGCCGATTCAAAATGTAGCTGAGCTACGGCAAAGACTATTGGAAGCAGCTGAGTTTGTTAATAACCGTGGATTCGCTCGTTTAATAACCCGATCTTTTTTAAGAAGATGTCGAGCATGTATTGCGGCTGAAGGAAAGCTGTTTGAGCATTTGCTGTAAAGGTAAATCATCATCAGCAACATTTTGACGCCCACTGTTGTGCAAACAGTTATCCTTAAGGGTCCTTATGCATTTTCATAATCGCTGTCTAATTAGGAAATTTTGAAAAATTTTATTCAGTTTTTCTTTAAATAAAACTTGTGCATAAATGCGCCAACTTTTAAGGTTACTTGCCAAACTCTCGTAGTACATTTTTTTCCAGTACAGCCAGTTAAAGTTGAGCAAAGTTTTACTTTGGAATACTTGGTTGGGAAATAAGTGGCAATTTTTCCTGAACGAGAAAAGTTGGTAGTAACGTTTAGACACCAGTTTGAAGATGCATTATTCATCATTACATTGTAAAAATAAAATCCAAAAAAAGTTAATATTTGTAGTAACAGGAGTTGACAGACTGCCGTAGGGTGTGAAATTCCTATATTTTTTTCAAAGACCTATAATTTTCAAAACACATACATAAATTTTTTTAAATATTTTTCTGATAGCTGTTATGACTTTGCCTATCACCCGGTTTCGGCTTGACGTCGACTTCTGGGACACCCTGTAGATACAATTTTTCTTAAGATTGAGTTGAGAAATACGCCTAGGGTAACACTTCACCTTTTCAATTTTGCACTTTTGCGGTTTTCAAGATATTATTCTTTTGTTTTATTTTGTGTATGCAAAGTTGAATAAAGGCACATCATTATTATTATAAAAGAAGGCTCCTGTTGATGTTTATTTACATCATCAAGCATCCGTGCCACTGATTTAGGTTGATGTCAGTTTGAGTTTCTGTCACTGCACATTTTCAGTAACGGATGTTGATACAATTGAGAAATGCCTCGGAATCGATGGTAGCCCATCCATATGAGAACGGAATAATTGCTTCTAAACAAAGAGAACGGTTGCAAGAAGCACATTCCTAACACACGCACAATTATGCGTTTTGTTCCAATTTCTACCTATATATACAGGGTGTTACCCCCGCCCAGAGGGCTGCACGTGTTAACGTGATTTTTTTCCAAACTTGTGTCCCCCTCGAAAACAAAATCGACGGGTCTGAGCGTTTTTCAAAAAAAAACTGAACTGACAGTAAATGCGTCTGATTCGTTTTCGATGCGCCACCCTGTATTTGTTAAACCTTTTATGATCTTTTTTTGAAATACAAACACTTGATTTGCATGGGACGAGCTACCCCACAAGCAAATGACATAATAAAGTCTAGACTCAATCAGCGCATAATAGATATTCAATAAATCAGGACAGCTTAAAACAATTCTCAAATTTCTAAAAACGTAAGACGATAATGATTTACACAGCTGCTTACAGTGGCTCGTCCAGCTCAAACACTCATCAATAAAGACTCCGAGGTTTTTGTACCTTTTTGGTTCAATAATAATGAATTATTGACATTTATACTAAATTGATCTAACTTGCTCTGGTAATTGTGGAACCTGAGTACTTCTGTTTTTTCGGTGTTAAGAAAAAGGTCAGTCACGTGAGTTCAACAAGTTAATCAGTTTCGTAGAGAACGTCACAGCATCCTCTTTCGATGAAATGAGCAAAGATATGTCATCCGCATAAGCTGTATATTTAATGGTGGGCAAAAAATCTGCGATCTGATTGACATATGAAAGGGAGAGAATCGGTCCCAGTCTAGTACGCTGTGGCACACCCTTCTGAATAATTGGCATGATTTTAGAGTTGATGTTAGAATACATGCCGTGGGATTCAAAACTGATCGATACACATTGCTTCCGGTTCTCAAGGAAAGAAGCTATAAAATTTTGAACAACTCTTATACTATAATATTTTATTGTATTGAGTAATGTCTGATGACTAATGCAGTTAAATGTCCCTATCAAATCACAAAAAATAGCTGCGACGAAAGAGAGGCGCTTTTTGTCAGATGGCAGGAGAGATGAGATGCAACTGGCCATATTGCATAGACCACAAGGCTGATCCCAGATATTAAAACTTCCTTACAGGACATGGTTGTTTTGACAGCTATCTGAAGAGGGTAGGAAAGAGGGTGTACGCGAATTGCGTATATTGAGATGAAGAGGAGGATACTCCTAATCACCTACTCCAATGTAGTAGGTGAGTCGTCTACCAGACACAGCTCGAACTGACGCTCGGCCAGAGGCTCACTGCTGACAATTTTGCGACGAATATACGCGAGAGAAAATGGGTTGACATTCAAACAATAGTGAGGCGAATGATGCTGAGTAAGGTAAAGGAGAACAACAATAGACCATGGAACCAATAGTAGGTTTCTATTTTGCTCGGTTGTACATGTACATAGGTATAAACGTCT